CCCTTGCTCGGATTTTCGATTCTCCAAGTTATAGTCAGTAGTGTTTGTGGTTAGCCACTTACTATTACGTTGTTTCACCTACCGAATTTATCAACCCCGCATTCAAGATATGGACCTGGGAACCCGTTTTTGGGGACAGGCTGATTTCCCAACTTGGGCAAATGGCAAAGCACGAAGGGCCTGGTTGATCAACCCAATGATGTAGCTAATCTTTTCACCAACATTTGACCCATTTTGAGGGTACATGTGAGTATATTGCCCTCCCGACCTACCTGGAAGTGCACAGACAGTTTTCGTAGAAAGCCAACTTTCTTCTTGGGAGCGGGGGATTGTGCACTTCCATGTTAGTGCTTGGTGGTTCTCAGCAATCCCCTTAGCTTTTTAGCCTTTTAGTGTTCAGTGGGGATTTCCATTTCACCCACTAAAAGTTAGTCACTTTTAGTGGGGGATCAGAAAACGGACAGCCCAGAGTGGGTAGAGTATACATTTGCGGGCACTGAGCCTGGAGGTGATCTTCGTTCTTCTGGTGACCGCCGTGGGCAACAACTTCCTGGCCTTCTGCGAGGCCGGACCCCGGGGCCCCAACCAGCGAACCGACCAGCGTGGCGTTCGCGGAGGTGACGTTGGTAACAAGTCCATGGGCCTTTGAAAGGGTGGCGTTTTTGGGGGAGGTACTCTTTTTGTTTGGTGGTTTCAGGGAAAACAACAAACTCACTGACCCCAAAGGATTCAAGAACAAGCTGGTCGAAGAAATATGCATGGGTGGGAACCACCAGGAAAAATGCAAGTTCCTTGTTGACTACGCTTTTAGCCCTGTGATACTTGCCCAGGCCTTACTTTGACTCCGCAAAATGTTCCTAGATGACTCACCAGGCTCAATTGGCAAAGCCCGAAGAAATCCAAGCACTCAAAAGAACACCATGAGAATGGTCAACTAAATGGCTGGGAGCACAAAACTCGGTAACCACATATATATATATATATACATATATTTGTATATATATATATATATATATTTATTTGTTGGTTGCTCTGCATGAAACATGCGACATTGCACCTTGAAGTCTACTTTTCCGCAACGCATGGAAGCCAAAGAGGTTGCATTCTCAGCCCAGTTTGGACGTAGAAACACAGGTGATCCACTAAAAAAGTAAGAACTCTACATCAGGGGAACCCAAAGGTTAAATCATGTGGTTTCTCTTTGGGCAGTGAGTATACAACTAGGTGTTGCTCAGGGGGCTAAGGTCTAGCTGTTTCAGCCAGGTCTTGCGGCGAGGCACGCAAACTGGCAGGCTCCAGGAGAACCATCCAAATGGAGCATCCTGGGTATCCTCTCCAAGTCGCCAAAGAGTACTTGCATATTCGATTCGCCAAGTTAGTAAGCTGTTGGCAACCTACGCTATGACCCTTTACAGACAATCCATGTAGGTGTTATATGCCAACATTTCACCTGTATTGAGGGTTTACATGGGTCTATAATCTACCTGCAGTCTCCATGACCCTTTAAAGCAATCGCCATAACCCCATGATTTAGGGTAATGACCTCATTTTGTTAAGGGTCATGGAGACTCCAGGTATACATAACCTACACAGATTGTTTGGGCAACTGAGGGGTGCCTCTTCCAGTCCTGCGAAAGGATGTGGCCAAGAGCCCCTTCTCTGTGCCGCACTTGCTGGCGAACCAGCTGCCCAATGCCACGCATTTCTACATGCGCCTCGGTTGAGTTAAGCCAAAGGTGTCCTTGGCACATGTTGACAACAATGCACACCAAATAATAAGGGCCCCCCAAAGGGCCTTGATCATAGCCAGCTCGCGAAAATCCCCGCCAATCGTTGAGCAGATTGCTTGGAATTGGATGGGTTCCACTGGCTTAGATAATTAGTTTTACGTCATCAGCTTACCAAGGAACCCCGAATCTTTTTTTCTTTTTCTTTTCTTGTCACCTACTGTGGATGTACGTTTTTGTTCACCAGCTGGGATGGATGAAGCCCTGTGAATACCAGCATAAACCACAAATACAGGTGCAATAGTTTGGTCAATCCACAGAAGGATGGAAGCGCAAAACTGCCGGGATCCAAAACGGGTCCAGGGTTGAACTGACTTCTATTTTGGGGGGTGGGGGGCTTAGTGAGAATGTGGGGGGGCAGATCAAAGCTAGTTTTGACTGATTTCTTGGTTCGTTTGGCTGTTGGAGCAATCCCCTCGTGGATTTTGTGCTTTGTACGGAATGGAGAAAAGAAGAGGGTGGGTTACGTTGCCCAGGAGTTATTGGAAAGTATTTCCCCCTGCGCGCTGCCCCATTTCCCCACTCACCAAGAGTTGAAAAACAAATGCAATTCTCAGTGTCAGGTCCTTTGTTGCTGAAGTGTTCCTTCGTATGAAACGGTGAGACTTTGAATGCTCCTCGCAAAACTAGTTGTCGCTTGCATTGATCAGACCTCCCTGCCGAAAAAGATGAGCCGAGGACCGATTTGGTTCAAGGGGAGTTCCATCCAAGCCCGATTGATCGGACTGCTTAGCTTCTACTTTCTGAAAGAGACATACGGTCAAGAAACGGCTCCACAAAGAAGAAGCCTCACTCCGTGTTTTTGCACTTTGTACTGTTAGGTAAGACCAAGCCGGAGGCAAATCAGGTTGATTTGTTTTTTGCAGACAATCGGTTCAGACAAATCAGATCTACAAAGGCTGCCTTTTTCGAGAGAAAGGCCGCGAAAAGGGGGGGTTCATCTTTTTAGGCCAGTCGGTTCAGAAGGTAAGACAAAATCCGAAGGCCTCCTTTGATAAAGAACTGAAACGCTATGTAGTATTTTCCATTTTTTTAGGTGAATCTAGCACTACTAGACATATGTTCATGTTTTCCACAGTGTTCAAGCAAATGGAAGTGAATGTCAAGCAAGATCCCTCCTTTTCTAACAAAAACCGAAATGACACAAAAGGAGGTCTCCTTACTTCGAGACAGAGCTACCTGGAGGCCTTGTTCGAGACATAGCTAGACCCCTCCCTTCCGAGAAAGAACTGAAATGACAGGACAAAAACACGACCCCTCCTTTGTTCGAGAAAGCGCAGAATTGGCAGAACAAACAAACTGGACCCCGCATTTTCGACAAAGAACTGAAATGACAGGACCAAAAACCCGACCCCTCCTTCCTCAATTAATGAATTGACAGGACCACAGAAACCAGACCCCTCCTTTTTCGAGACCAACACAAAGAAGAGAGGAGTGAAGGAGCTTCAAGAAAGGGCCACTGGTTGAGGACCACCAAACAAACAAAGAAGAAAATCCGAAGGAGCGTAAAGAATTCTCCACTTGAGGAGCTACCTGGTGGTCCAGTGGTCCACCCACATGATCAACCTGCTGCGCTATGTGAATTTGGCCAAGTTCTTAGGCTTGCGGGCCATCTATCCGGAAGAGGAGGCGTGGAGTGCCTTCCGCCTGGGAGCGCTGGCCTTTTTTTTTCTAAAACAAATGGTGGGTTCATGTTCTTTTTTCGGCTGGCGGCGAGGCATGGGTTTGTTTTGGGCTTCTCGCGGATGGGATTGGTGGAGCACGCGCTGGGCGATGTGCTTTGTGCAGCGGGGCGGGGATGTACCAACCAAGTGTGCCTGGAGTCTCTGGAGACCCCCTATGAGGCCAGAACCCCGGATTTGTTTAGGGCAATGACCCCATTTCGAAGGGTCGTGGAGACTGCAGGTGCTTCCTGTTTTAAGCCTGGACCCCCCAAAACAGTGGTTTCCGTGTTGGTTTTCCTTTAAGACCACACAGGTGTAACTTCAAACAGAGACACACACACACACACACACACATTTGGGCGTGTCTTCTTTTGAGGGCTAAGTACCCCATTTAGGCAACCAACCCTACTGCAAGGAAACGGCTTGAAGGGTTACCTGAAATAATTGGGATCCATTGGGAAATGTCAGCATAGAACTTGGTTGTTTGAACTTCCACTTGCGTTTCAGAATGTGTTTTTTGTTTGCCCTGTTGGTTTTAATGTGAATCTATCCCTGGAGAGACGTGTTTTTTCCAGTGGACTCAAGAAAATGGAAGAACACAATTCTACGGGTCATCCGAGTTAGTCGAGTATTTTGGACCAGTTGCGGGAAGGCTGTGGTACGGATGCCTTGTTCTTTGTACCATGAGAGCCAACCCTGGTGTTTGACGGGTTTCTCAGATTCTTCCGTCAAGTTCCATAGAGGGAGTGTTTCCTGAAAAAAGTGAATCCTAAGTAGCTTTAGTTGCTCTGTATTTGGGGTTCTCATTTTTGTTTTTCCGTGGGTACCCTTTTTGGGTAGGTTCAAAGGCACAGGGAGGGGAACACGACCGTTTTTGCGGGTGCTTCTAGTTTGACACATACCGTGTCAGATACCATTTGGAGAAACACAACAAGAAACCAACAAATACCCAGATATCAACAAGATACTATCAAGGCACAACAAATCACAAGCAACACACGCACACAAGGCAACGAGACCAAGTAAGCCCAGTTGGTATCCCCAACAGCCCCCGAAACTCTGGGAAGCCACCCTGAAAGCTGCTCCGCACCACCCAAAGCTTTCAGCTGGGGGAAAAAATCAAGAAACCCTCACGCCCTGGGCTCCGTTTCGGACTATTAATCACTTTTTGGGTGTGGATAATTTTGGCGGGTAAAGAACATGTTCCAGGACTTCATTCTGGTCAACCCGCCCGCCGCTAAATCAGCAGTGACACATCCCAGTACAATTGTTGAATCCGTAAGCGGAGTAGGTACCGAGTGCCTGTTCCTTGGGGTTCCTAAGGGTTCCTTTGAGGTTCCTCAAGAAGTGCCCTGTGTTCCGTTTCGGACTTTAGTGACTTTTTTGTTTTTAGGACTCCTTTGGCTTTTTTTTGCGGGATTCCTAAGTCTTTTTTCAAGCTTTCTCCGGGTTGTTTTCAGGCTTTACTTGGGTTCGATTCAAGCGGGGACGTCTTTCGTCGCCCGGCGCCTTTGGGCAGGCGAAGAAGAAGGCGGAGCCGGAGGACCAGGACTACTACGGCTTCGGGTCCCGCAGCGCGCGCTGGAGCATCAACCTCCTCATAGGCGCCTGCGAGCGGCGCTTGGGGCACTTTTGGGGCGCTTTTGGGGCGCTGGTGGGGGAAGCTGCGGCTTCGGCTCCCCATCGGTTTTTCTGGTTAAAACCCACTGGCTGGATTAAGAATCCTTTTTTTGTTGCACCCTGTTGGTTTTTTTGGGGGAAAATGAACTGTGTTTTTGGGAATGTGTGTGTGTGTGTTTTTGCAGGGGCCTTAAGCCAATGGAGGGTTACAAAGAAACCACACCAAACAGGCAAACAGGGCCCTCGAGCAAACAACACCCAACCATGTGATCACTCGAGTGCCTGGACTTTGTACTTGTTGGGTTTCGACTGTTCGTGTCAACAAACAGTTTAGACTTGGGCTTCTATGTTATTGGCGAAATGTGTGAAACTGGTTCCGGTCTGAGCTTTCTTTTTCTATTGTAAGACACTGAACGGTGGATAACCAAGGCAGGTACAACAATGCGACAGGTGAGTCTGTGAAGATGGAGCGCAGGGGGCGAGTCTGGGGTCGACATCAAACACTCCAAAGATTGGCACGCATGTTTGTGTATCTTCAAACGGGTACACACCTCCAAAGAGGGGTAGTTGCCCCTGGCGTTTTCCTTTCAAGCCGCCCATGTTTGTTTGTGGTTCTCAGAAATGACATGAACCAACACATAGATTTACTATCGACACAGTCCAACGGCCCCCTTCCCCAAGGGCTCCGCGCTTTTTGAGGGGCCTCTTTTGGACCCTGGCCTTCAGGGGGGGGGGGGCTGTTTGGGTGTTACACCAGCGGAAACCGATGCCATTTCTACTTGTCTCCCTATCTTGAGACAGTTCTTTGAGGCTGTCTAATTTTATGACTCTTGATACGGCTTAAGAGCGTCTTTTTGGGGGGTAAGGGAAAACTGCTTTGAAAGCGTGCCCTATCCATGTAGGCAATATACACCCACATCTACAACCTCACCGGCATTTGGTTTCGACCAAGCCTATGAAGGATTATTGCTAGGCGGTTCATCCTGACTCCCTGACTTCCGTTTCGTTATTGAATTTGTAAGGGGAATACGTGGAGGGGTGAATATTTTTAGGGTTCCTTAGAGGGACCCCCCCTCCCCGAAACCACCCCCCCTTTCCGATTCCCCCCAGAAACCGCCCCCTCCCTTCGGATTCCACACACGCTCATAGAAAACAAGACATACGACGTTCCCCCAAGAGATTGAAGTTCACTGGGCCTGTGCTTGGGGAAATCAACATAATGAGTGTGTCTTTTTGGGAAACTCGGTACCCCTTTTTGGTGGTTTTGAAGGGAAACCAAGAGGGAGGACCAACACCATTTTAGTAGGGCCCCTCTCCGTTGAATTTCCTACTTGTCGAGTTGTTGTTTCCTTCGAAATAGATAACTATTACGTCAAAAGGGGGGCCAGAAGCCAAGAGGGAAACTTGTCGATCCAACTCGTCCCCCCTCCACCCCTGTCTTCCTTCCGAAAAACCCCAACAAAGCCGTATCAAGTTTCTATTGGAGGAACCAGACAGCCTGGGCTGCCTTGTTGATGCCGCGGTTTTGAACCCACCACTCAGGTTTGAGTAGGCGGGACCGCGGCTCGCATGGAAGCGGCCTTCGCGGGAGAATCGGGGGACATCCGAGCGGAGACGTTGGTCAGGAATCGTCTTCGGCACGCTGAACCCGACCATCCCTTTGCTGGCGCTCATCAACTTCTTGATTTGCAGACCCTCGGCTCGATCTAGTTGAGAGCCCCTTTCGGGCCCTAGAGTTGCTTGCATTTGTTTGAGGACCGCCGATTGGGGATTCCATCATCCATGTGGGTTACATGCGGGTAGGGCACATCGACTTTGTGATACCAAGAATCCCCTTTGCGACATGCCAAGATAAGATGGCGCTGCATCCGCGATATTGTCAATGCAGCCATAAGGATGACTGGCCCGCACGGCAGTCACAAAGTCAGGCTCACTTTCGTTTCCTCGCGAAACCCAAGCGAATGGAAAAGGGGCCCAAACATAGCCTGGTTCGCTGCGGGAGTTGGAGTCAAACTGAGCCACCCCCATTGTTCTCATCGGTTTTGTTGCTCCTTTCAGATCCCTTTCTTTCAGCCCTATTTGGTGATTGGATTGGTGGTTTGGGGAAGGTTCTTGCAGAGCCTGTCGACGTACAGAAGCAAGACGACTTGTGGCAAATCCTCTCGGCGGAGGTGAGCTTGTGGTGTCGACCCAGCATTAAGCATCCCTCAAAGGTTAATGCTGACTGGAATGGGGTTTCTCAATATGGTTGTCGCCTAAAATGGTTGATTTCTTGTGGTTTCCAATTGAATCCCAATGAAAAGGGGGTCCAAGCTTCATTTTTTGAAATGTCCCCGTAGCGTGCGCCCAGGAGTGGTCTACGGCTACCTCATCGTGGTGGCCGAGACGAAGAAGCCAGACCTCGGCGGGAACTTCTGGGTCATGAACCTGCAGCTCGTTTGATTAGATGAATCGCTTACCTGAGCCGAAGTCTACAAATCCCCTCAGGTCTTCTTAGGTTTGTCGCAGCATGGAAACTGCCACGTTTCAGCTTCCCTCTAATTGGTGCTTTAACTTGTTGCCCTTTTCAATTGTCACAGCTTCTTTCAACCCTTCCATTTGCTGAAGCGAATGTTTTTGTTTTTTTTAAACACACACATGTGATTTTTCTTGGTGGTTTTAAAGGGAATGTATCACTACAGGGTTTTGCTCAGGCTTGAGCGAGTGGAACCCTGTTGGCCTTCCAAGTGAAAAGCGTTGAAGGCCTATTTTCCGGGTGCCCCTCTTTTCGGCTCCCAGAAGGGCTCGTCGCTTGACATGCCGACCATGAGGATGCCGAAAGCAAGATGAAATTTTTGAAGGGTCTAAGTCTGTTGAAGATAATTTCGGCCGGAAATCGGCCAGTAGCGGGGTTGTGTTGACACCAATCCGCCAAGCGCAGGCATTTTATAGGCGCCTGTGCAATACTTGACCAATGTGCAATGAGTGTCCCATGCGGCGGGGCGATGGTTAAATTGGAATCATGGATTATTTGTTTCTGCCATTTGCAGCACTCGTTGGTGGCCAACTTCCTTCGTCCATGAGTCACGCGCAACAAGCCCTAGAGAACTCTTTCCGATCTTCCAAAAAAAGTTGAGCCAACGAAGGGCCCCTGTTGCTTCCAGTTGCCACTGGAGCTAGCCTAGTGGCGTTCACCCACCGGAGCAGTCCCCAAGCTTTCCGCCCGGCTCCCCATGCTGGCTGGGCACAAGAGAAACACAACGAGTTGCTAAGCCTTCCTTCTGCAACAGATTTCCAGAACTTCCATTTGCTGAACTGAATAGTAGTTGTTATTTCCCTCGGTTTTAAAGGTGTGTTTTGTTCACGTGTTGTTTCATCATATGGCAAAGCGGCCGAATGGCCGTTTGGCTCAAGTTTAACCTCCCGTCAGGTTAGTTTTGGTAGCACGGCACTCGCCATAGCACGGCATCTCGCTGCGTCGCCGAGAAAGGACTCTCGGCGCTGGGGTGGGCTGGTGCTAGGAGGTAGGTGGTGCTGCGGCAGGACTTGCCTGGGCCTGGTTAAGGTGATCTTTTGCAACTTGCTGTTTAACCTTCACTTCAACCACCTCTTCTTCAATCATCACGTCCTTCAACCTGGTCACCGGCTTCAGTCCACTGAGTCGTGAGTCCGGGTTCTTTGGGTTCTTCGTGGATTACGTGAACCCTTTTGATTCCCTGGGCAACGCCCTTTCCGCCCAAAACCGCAGGTTATCAGCCGTACCAGCTAGAAGCTGGGGCTGGTGATCCGGTTGCGGGACGTGACCCGCTACCTGCTCCCATCGCCTACTTGTACGAGCAATGGCGTCCCCCGGAGCTTCTCATCGTGGGCCGGGCTTCGTGGACGACGAGGCCAACGCCCTTCGCGGCAATGCCGCGCCTGCTGCTTCCGGCGTAGACAGCCGGCTGTGGCCCATTCCCCCGATGGTGGGCGCAGAGCCCAATCCCGGGGTGATCACGGACGATTGGATCCTTTCTCAGGTTGTGTTTGATGAGGATGCGGAGGCCCCTATCCCGGCGGCAGTGCTCCAGATCGAGGACGGACCCCCTCTAGAAGAGGCTGAGGTTCCTCCAAATCAGGTGCCCTCATCGATTTCGCCTACTGTTCCGTTCGTGGCGCTCCAGATCGAGGACCGGGCTATCCATCATGCTGCTCATCCGGAGCCGGCTCAATCATGGTCCCTTACATGGGATCAGTTTGACCAACTCCTCGGCAGTGGATCGCAGGCTAAACCGCCTGATTTCGGTCGGCTCGACTTTAACTCGGGTGCCCCCGTTTCGGTTGGGAATCTGGATTTTCAATCCCTTTGTGATGCTGATTGGAGGTCTCAGCCTTCCCGAATTGACAGATCCTTTGATGTTTTGCCGTCGCATGAGCCTACTCAGGGTTTTCCTCATGATGGAGAAAATGACCCCGTTGAAGATTTCTCCCCTTCTCATGTTGCAGGTTCGGCCCAACCCGAGGTGGGCAAACGGGCGATTGAGGATTGGCCGCAAATAGCTGGCCCTCCTCCCGTCTCAGGTTCATCCGACATTGACATCATTCACGATCACCCCAGTCCGGCGGATATGGACTTCATCCCTGATGCAGTATCATCTCACCTGTCAGGTACCCGTGACCGGAATGCGGACCGCTACAACGCTGGTCCGAATCCACCGCTTTCCTCAGGTACCCGAGGTCGGGATGCGAACCGCTACAACGCGGGCTCAAATCCGCCGAATCGGACATCAGGTACTAATCGATCGGATGTGGGCCGCGAAACAGCAGGCCCAAATCCTTCCTCCTCTTCGTCAAGAAGCCATGCCGGTCTCTTCGCGGCGTTCAATCGGCGTCAGACTCGAAAAGAGTCCGCCCCCGACGTCATCGACCTCGAGGAGCAGTCCAGCCACCGTACCAGCGATGGATCCGAGCAGGATACACCTGGCATTGGCTCCACTCCATTTGACCTCCTCGACATCCCCTTCCATCAGCCACCCAGGAGAGGAAATGAAGATGATGAAACCATTCCTGGGATCCTTGATGTAATCGATGAGGCCGAGGTCACACCAGAGAGACGAACTACATCGCTCCCGCCGAGCCGCGTTGCCAAAGTACTTTCCCCTAAGCCACTCAATGGTGACGTTGCTCAACGGCTTGATCTCACTCAACCTAATCCAGATCAAGCTCAACTTCGCGGATCATCATCATTTGATAATGTGTCGGGACAAACCGGCACTGACTCACGAGCCACAAAGAGGAGCTCTGAGTCACCCGAGAGACGTGAAGCTGCTCTCCGACTGCGATCTAATCCCCCAGCTCATCACGACCCTATTGACGTTCCTATCCACTCTGCGGGGTCTGGGCTCAGCTCCAATGCCCCGATGTCCGAGAAGGAGACTGATGACGGGATTAACTCTACGCCTAGGAACCGGAGGCCTGGACTTAGCGCTGTTGCCCCTGGATATGGAGGGCTTCCTTCGAATCAACCGGTTAACGACTCCCTCGTTCCCGCATTCTTTCAAATCGGAACTCCGGGCTGCACTCCTGACAGGGAAGAAAATAGTCGCGGAGATCATGACGCTGATAGCCGTCCTGCTCCGTCTGCCTCCACAAGTGGCGGCCATCCTGTTGCATCTGAGCTTCAACGACTGCTTCTCGCGATCCACAACGAGGTCAAGGGGTGCAAGGCCGAAATCCAGGGGTGCAGAACTGAGATTCGTTCATGTAGGGATGATATCAACGCTTGCGTCGGTGAGATCAAGAAGATCAATAACCGTGTTGACGCCTTCGAGAAGAAGGTTGAATCATCTTTCTCTGCCGTTGCTGGAACTCTCTCAAAACACGAGGCTAGGTTCCGTGATTTCCACGAGTGGGTCGCCCGAAGCGAGAAGGAGACGAATGAGCGTTTCAAGATGTATGATGAGAGATCTGACTCGATCGTCACATCTGCTGCTGGACTTCGCGAGCAGGCCGAATCACTTGAGAACGTCAAGGTCCAGCTCCTTAGGTTCTCTGAGATCGGAGCTCTTGAGGCTGAAGTTCGGAAAATCAAAGACGAAGTTGAGGCGAACTCTCGCAGTGTCATCGACATTGAGGGAACCATATCAAGGGAAAGAACCATCCGTGGGAACGTCGAGACGTATATTCAGCATCTCGTTCCTGCGACCGACCTGAAGCAGTTCAGTGATAGGGTGTCCGGAGCCCTCAATGAGAACTCACAGAAACAGGAGGAGTTCAAGCTTCAATTGTCCCGTGTTGCTAGGTGCGTCAAGGACCTTCATGACAAAAGCTTAGGGCCCAATCCGAGGAACATGCAAGAGCAGTTTATGAAGCTTGTGCTGAGGGTCAATGAGATCAACATGCAGATCGCTGAGATAAGGGAACAACCTCCCGCTGCCTACGGATCTTCAAATGCTGGCGCTGCTTCGACCGCCGGGACGGGATCATGGGAAAAATCTGGAGACACTAATCCCTTAACCCAGGGAAGGACCTCCTAGAGGTTCTCCTCCTCGTGATGTTCGCACAGTCAGCTCGACGAGATCTCCTCCGCCTCCACCTCCTTCGGGGCCACCCCCACCGTCACCATCAGCCCCCATCTTCGGCAGGGATCCCTCTAGAACGAGGGCCATTGCTCGGGCTGCCGGCGCTGCCCCTGATAACCGGGCCAGGTGTGCTCATGAAGAGGCCGGGCATCCACAGCATCGGGAACCTCGCTATCCATGCCGAAGTTGCGGCAAGTCAGTCTGCGAGGACTGCTTTGACCATGATTGTAACTCGTGTTTCAAGTGCAGCGATCAATTTCCTAGATGCCGCGCATGCAGAGGAAGAGGGGGGAGACACGGACTTGTGAGGTGTCTCATATGCAAGGACGAGTACTGCGATCAACACATCGCTTCGCCTGACGATGTGCGTCGTTTTGGGTCGAGTGTTCGACCTATCTGCCTCGGTTGTCTGAGAGCTGATCCCGACGGGAAAACTAAACATCGGGGCCCCAGTGCGGGGCCTGGAGGACCTGATTGCATTCCTGATCAAAATCAGCGGGATGGCACTGCTCCTGATCCTGGATCCGGGCCATCACGTGAAGATCCGTCACATCGGAGTCCTGAACCGCACCAAGGAAATTCTGGTTTTTGTTCCCACGCCGGAGCTGCCGGGCCAATGCCACCAAGGGCAATGTCTTCGCCCGTGGTCGGACGAGCAGTTCCGAGGGGGACCATCAACACGTACCCCGGATGTTCCCCTACAGGGGGGATCTTCACCGGTCAGGTTGAGCATGGAACGTCTCAGGGAGTCATTCGCGGGAGATACGGGCCTGACGCTGCTGTGACAAATCAGCAGAATCCACAGCCTCACCACGGAGCACAGGATAACTCTGGCGGGCCAACTGGTTTTTCTCTTCCACCAGGACTCGGTAAGGGTGTGCATGGCGTTG